CGTTTTCCCCGAGTCAAGGTCGATAGGATATACATACAAAGGGAGATCTCAATATTACACCTAATTATCGAGGTATAACGATCTTGAGTATATTTAGTAAGATTTGTATTGCAGTCTTGAATGCCAGATTAAAATTTCGGTGCGGTGCGTATGAAAACGTTTCGGAATCACAGGCCGGATTTCGGCATGGCTATTTGGCTGTGGATAATATCTTCATTTTGCAATCTGTTGTCGGTCGACTCTTGTAGGAAAAGAAAGGTAAAGTGTATGATTTATATGTGGATTTTGCAAAAGCTTTCGATTTTGTTAATCGTTCTAAGGTGTCGACAGTTTTGCAACACAAGGGAGTTTCGCCAAAAATGTTAGGGTGTATTAAATCTATCTATGAAAGTGTAAAATCGTGTGTTAAATTTAATAATTTAGTCTCAGATATGTTTGAGTGTAATGTGGCAGTGCGTCAGGGATGTGTCTTAAGCCCCCTTTTATTTCCGTTGTTCAATAGAAGGTTCATGTTATCCTGGCATCCACTTACATCCGGACTTGACTCATTTATTTATATTACTGTTTGCGGATGACGGTGTTATTATATCTGACACTATCGGAGGATTACAAAATCGAATTAACGTGTTACAACAGTATTGTCACCAATATATTTTAACTGTAAATTTAGATAAACTAAAGTTGTTGTCTTTAAAAACGGCGGAGTTCTTTCGAGGGGCGAAAAATGGTATTTTGATGGCAATCTTATTGAATGTGTCTCATCCTATAGATATTTAGGTGTGGTATTTTCTAGGAATCTAAGTTGGAATAAACAGTTTATTAGTTCATCGTTGCAATCTAGAAAAGCATTAGTCGGTGTTTTGATATGTCTGTTGAAGCTTAGACCATTACCATATGATGTTTTTTTAAAGGTTTTCGAAAGTAAAGTGATGTCAATTTTATTGTATGGTTCTGAAATATGGGGACTAGACATTGACCCTGAATGTAAGATTACCAGTGTTATTGAAGGAGTTCATGTTCAAGCATGTAAATATTTTATTGTTGTGAAACCGTCAACGTCAAACCATGCCTATAAACGTTCTATAAAGTAATGGTATAAACTGTTATCCATGCCATACTTACGCTTGCCCAAGAAATGTTATAACGTGTTGATGTTAGATATGAGTCAAAATTTGGGTATGTTTGGGATAACCAGTGCATAAGAAATATTCAGTCGTTTTATCAGAATCTATGGATAGAGCTAAACGTGCGAATCAATAAGTTTGGCATGTATCTTTGTCACAAGGTTCTAAAACATATAATTATTCTTTGTATAAGTCTAACATATATGATGAGCAGTATATTAAGCGTATAACTATTCAGAAAGTTCGTGTCGCTTCAGTTAAGTTTAGATGCAGTTCTCACCAACTGAAAATTGAGATGAATAGATACTCAAATGTCCCAAGGAAAGAAATTTTTGTAATGTTTGTAAAATGAACTATATCGAAGATGAGTACCACTTCCAGTTTGTATGCCAGGCATATGGCGAATTACGTGAACAGCTTATTCCAAGGAAATACTATGTATTTTCAACATTATTTAAATTTATTCTTTTAATGTCCCATTGATAACAGAGATCTTGGCTATGTATGTTGAGAAGTCTATACGTGTGACGACAAGTCTGTTAATGTAAACAATACGTATTGTGGATGGTGTGCAACTGCTGTGTCATGGGCCAATGGCCTAAGTTTCTCTAAAAGATACACATAAAGAGTGTTCGTTGTTGCCCTTTGTTACATTCCTATTGACTGTACATGACCATATGTTATGTTATGTAGTATAGCTTCTTCTGTAATCTTATCGGTGTTCTAATGCCCCGACAGTGTTGTATAAGACTTAAAATATACATACACGTGTGTCTCACAGGGTGAGTATTCCTAGATAAGAGGAGGGTTTGTAGTGAATTTGGCAATGATAAAGCCGTCGTTCAGTATTGTTACAGTAGAAAGTCGCAGTTATACACTTCCCAAAAAGGCACGCATCGGTGATATTGATAAATGACATATCAAATATTGTTCAAAATTAGTGTTTGATTGTTATAATTTCGCCGGGATAACGCTGGTTTGTGTAAATGGAACGAATGCATAGCGTGAAAACGAATCTTCCGAAACAGTATTGCTCGTTTACGTTGAAATGAAATTGCCATGAGGAGAAAGTGGTTCGCAATACACACGTGTAGTTTTGAGGAATCGTGCGCAGGGACATTGACTACATAGGGCCATCTTGCTAAGGTCACTGCCATTTTTAGCTAAATGAAGGAATAACGTTATGCCACGACTCACTACTGTAAATCAAAACATTGCAACTGGACGTCTAGAGGCTGGTGAATCTCATTCTGCCGTTGCACGTCGCCTCAATGTTAACAAGAGTACCATCAGTCTTCAAATCAACAAACCAATTCTTCCCAAGATCGGCCTCGAAGTGGTAGACCTCGGATTGGGTCCATCCGGGTACTTCATTTGCGAAATCGAATTTTCCCAGGAACTAGAACTGCAACTGCAGTGCCTGGTGTGAGGAGAGTATCGGCGCAAACCATTCGTAATCGTGTACGAGAAGTTGGACTTTCGATATGGTTAAATGACGAATCATGCTTTTTGCTTCAGTGCCGTGACGTCGAAGTGAACGTTTTGCCCAGAATTGTGTCGCCCAGATGGACCAATATGGTGGTTTGGAGTGTCATGATGTGGGGAGCCATATCTTTCACGCAGAAATCTAACTTTGTGTTAGATTTCACATGCAACTATTTAGTATCTTCAGAATGAGAACATATTACAGTGCTTCCATGGCCTTCCAAATCGCCCGTCATCAACCCCATCGAGCATTTGTGGGATGCCCTCGGCCGACGCCTACTTGAACGTCAGCCGGTGCCAAAGACGTTAGATTAACTTTCTCGGGCATTGTAAGTGGAATGGACATGAATTCCACAAGGTCAAATTCAAGACAACGCCCACCTCCTTCACTTATTGAACGTTTTATAAGAGATACATGTTAACAGACATTTGATCTTTTATACTGTGACATTTGGCTACAACTGATTGGTAGAATTACATGTGTTTTCTTTCTTTAAAGTTTGCAGATTAAATTAAGTATACTTGATGAAATTTGAACATTAGAGCCCATTAGAGTAGAGTAAGTAAAAGTGCCCATGTCGTTCGTACGTCAGTGAGTGTTATTCCACCAGTAGGGACGACAGGGGAATCGAACTCAGGCTTAGCTACCCACCAAGACCAGACAGGGATGTTTGGTGTTTGCAAAAGACGTAATTAGTCATAGCATATTTATCATGAAATTAAATCCCTCGTTATTACTGATATAAACTATATTATTAGTATATTTCAAGAATAATTAGCCCCATGTACACGCATATTCATGCGTTTTCGACACGGGTTTTACCTTACATTGATATTTACTATAAAAGGTTTTATAAGGGTTTCAAAATCCCGTTTGTGGTTAAAGGATACAACTTGCCAAGACCAGACTGTGTCATTACAGCGTGACAATCAAAATGGCATTTGTTCCGGTAGCTATCCGTGCGTGCAATTTAACTTTATGCTCCTGTGATACTGCCAAACCGCTGTGATGTCACTGAACTGTCATCATCTCTACGCTGACGATAATCAGTTGTATATTTCCATCAAACCATCAGAAGTTTCACAAGGAGTTCATAAGATCGAACGCTGCATAATGGATATCCGGGAATGGATGGCTGTCAACTATTTGAAGTTGAACGACAGCAAGACTGAGTTCCTTGCCATAGGCTCACGGCAACAGCTGCAGAAGATGCCACCTGGAATCACACTCAAGATAGGAACTGAGGATGTGAAGACCTCAAACTCAGCCAGAAATCTGGGAATCATCTTCCAGTCCAACATGTCCCTAGATGAATATGTCAAGTCCCTCTGCAAGTCATGTTTCTTTCACATCTACAACATCGGCAAGATCCGCAACTTCCTAGACACTGAGACAACAAAGCTCCTAATGCAAACACTTGTAATCTCAAAGCTGGACTATTGCAACTCACTCTTTTGCAACACGGCATCTTCAACACTTTCTAAATTGCAGAAAATTCAAAACGCAGCAGCTCGTGTGGTCTCTCGAACCCATCGCCATGACCATATATCGCCAGTTCTGAAATCCCTTCACTGGCTTCCAGTAAAGTACAGGATCTACTTCAAGATTCTGCTACTGACTCATAACTGCCTCTACGATGACCAGTCCTGTGACTACCTTCGCCAGCTTGTACATCTGCATGTACCCACCAGAGCTCTTAGATCAAAAGATACGTTAAGACTAACACAGCCAAGCACTAAAACATCAATGGGTGATAGAGCCTTTTCTGTAGCAGCACCAGCTCTGTGGAACAATCTTCCAGTCACCCTCAGACGAACTGAGTCCCATTCACAATTCAAGAACTTGCTCAAAACCTACTTCTTCCAGATGGCTTCTGAATAGAACTCTTTTCACACTTATTGTGTTTTTAACGATGTATGCAGCGCCGTTGAGCATCTATGATGGAAACTAGGCGCTATACAAGCCAATTATTATTATTATTATTATTATTTGCAGCGGCTCAAACAAATAAACCGGATAAGAATGAAGCATACAACGTTATGGACGACAACTTCTTGTTTATTGCATGGAGCTAAAGCTTGATAACGGAGTAAGAATATACATCGAAACGTCACTGTGTAATAAAGAAGATGTTATCATACATAAAGTTGTATGTTTCATTCTAAAAAGCTTGATAACTGTGTACGAATCTACATCGAGACATCGTTCTATGCACCACACAGGAAGTTGTCACCCATAAAGTTGTTTGCTTCATTTTAGACTTACAAACTTCTACAATGCTAATCAAACAATCACTTCGGATAAGGTTTATGCCTTTCACAACCCTATTTTCATAGGCTTATTGTTGGAGCCCTATTAATAGTTCCATGCAAAAAGAATATTAAGAAACGTTGATAAGGAGACCTTCGAGAAAACCCATCCTGATTCCTGTCAGGTATAAATAGATCCGCACGTCTCGGACGGTCATCCTGTTCCGAGCTGTGGTACACGACAGGTAATATACTGATCTTGTTAATTTTGTATCTTAACTTGTAATGTATTGCGGTATATGCATTTGCTATATGCAATGATAAAGTGTTACATGCTATTTCACAACAGTAATACATTTTGTTGATTGGTAAAAGTTATTTTATGCCTTTTACTGAATATTGACTCATGTAGTGACTGGAATGCCCATGAGTGCTATAGAACCTGAACACCCTCTCTTGTGACTAGTGTTTGGAACAATTAACCTCAGATTTTACCAATGTGGGTTTCATAGGATCTTACTCGTGACTCATGTAGTGACTGGAATGCCCATGAGTGCTATAGAACCTGAACACCCCTCTTGCCTTTCACTCGTGACTCATGTAGTGACTGGAATGCCCATGAGTGTGCTATAGAACCTGAACACCCTTCTTGCCTTTCACTCGTGTGACTGGACTCATGAATGCCCAGTGACTGGAATGAACCCCTTCTGAGTGACTCATGTAGTGACTGGAATGTCCATAGTGATAGAACCTGAACACACCTCTCTTGCCTTTCACTCGTGACTCATGTAGTGACTGGAATGCCCATGAGTGCTATAGAACCTGAACACCCTTCTTGCCTTTCACTCGTGACTCATGTAGTGACTGACTGGAATGAACACCATGAGTGTGATAGAATGCCCATGAGTGAAAACCTGAACACCCTTCTTGCCTTTCACTCGTGACTCATGTAGTGACTGGAATGCCCATGAGTGTTATAGAACCTGAACACCCTTCTTGCCTTTCACTCGTGACTCATGTAGTGACTGGAATGCCCATGAGTGCTATAGAACCTGAACACCCTCTCTTGCCTTTCACTCGTGACTCATGTAGTGACTGGAATGCCCATGAGTGCTATAGAACCTGAACACCCTTCTTGCCTTTCACTCGTGACTCATGTAGTGACTGGAATGCCCATGAGTGCTATAGAACCTGAACACCCTTCTTGCCTTTCACTCGTGACTCATGTAGTGACTGGAATGCCCATGAGTGCTATAGAACCTGAACACCTCTCTTGCCTTTCACTCGTGACTCATGTAGTGACTGGAATGCCCATGAGTGCTATAGAACAACACCTCTTGCCTTTCACTCGTGACTCATGTAGTGACTGGAATGCCCATGAGTGCTATAGAACCTGAACACCCCTCTTGCCTTTCACTCGTGACTCATGTAGTGACTGGAATGCCCATGAGTGCTATAGAACCTGAACACCCTTCTTGCCTTTCACTCGTGACTCATGTAGTGACTGGAATGCCCATGAGTGCTATAGAACCTGAACACCCTTCTTGCCTTAGTGACTGGAATGCCCATGAGTGCTATAGAACCTGACTCGTGACTCATGTAGTGACTGGAATGCCCATGAGTGCTATAGAACCTGAACACCCTTCTTGCCTTTCACTCGTGACTCATGTAGTGACTGGAATGCCCATGAGTGCTATAGAACCTGAACACCCTTCTTGCCTTTCACTCGTGACTCATGTAGTGACTGGAATGCCCATGAGTGCTATAGAACCTGAACACCTCTCTTGCCTTTCCTGGAATGCCCATGAACACCCTTCTTGCCTTTCACTCGTGACTCATGTAGTGACTGGAATGCCCATGAGTCTGACTCGTGACTCATGTAGTGACTGGAATGCCCATGAGTGCTATAGAACCTGAACACCCTTCTTGCCTTTCACTTGACTCATGTAGTGACTGGAATGCCCATGAGTGCTATAGAAGCTGAACACCTCTCTTGCCTTTCACTCGTGACTCATGTAGTGACTGGAATGCCCATGAGTGCTATAGAACCTGAACACCCTTCTTGCCTTTCACTCGTGACTCATGTAGTGACTCCATGAGTGCTATAGTGAACTGGAATGTGACCCATGAGTGCTATAGAACCTGAACACCCTTCTTGCCTTTCACTCGTGACTCATGTAGTGACTGGAATGCCCATGAGTGCTATAGAACCTGAACACCCTTCTTGTCAATACCGTGTGTGTCCTCCTTGGGCAGCCATGCAAGCCCAGGGTCTGCCAGGCATTGACAAGCACAATCTCCGAATCAAAGCTTGTGGAACGGCTCTCCAGTGAAACTGCAAAGCTTGTGTCAACTCAGCTACAATTTGGGGAGGATTCAACTGACGTCTCACACGGCGCCCAAGTTCATCCCACAAATGTTCGATCGGATTAAAATCAGGTGATCGCGAGGGCAAGTTCAAGACATCCACATTGTTCTGATGCATAAAGTCCTGTGTTATCCTAGCCGTATGTGGCCTGGCATTGTCGTGTTGGAACACGAGGTGATGTCGTCCGTGTCGACCCATCAATGGCAGAAGCACTGGTTGCAACACGTTGTCAATGTAACGTCGGGCGTTGAGGTTCCCTTGAAGAACAACCAAGTCAGAGCGGAAGTTGACGTTAATTTTCCCCCATACCATAACTCCACCACCACCAAAGCGATCACGCTCAATGACACAAGGCTGAGCAAAATGTTCATGATTACGGAGATAGACACGTAGCCGACCATCAGGGAAACTGACGTTGAAACGTGAAGATGACATCTCGCCTCTGTCTAGCACCAAGATAGCTTCCAGCAGCTGCCCAACGTTGACGATTTAGGCGATGTGCATGGGTGAGGATCTGTCCACGATAGGGTCGACGACATCGGATGTGACGTGCAGCAAGTCGACGGCGTACTGACCGGTCACTGATGGAACGTCCAATTGTTCCTATCATGGCATTTGCAGTCTCTCGTGCAGACCTGAAGCGATTCCGAAGATGACTAACGACGATGTACCGATCTTGCCTTTGTGACGTCACACGAGGCGCTCCCGGACGTGGATGGTCTTGGGCACTTCCTGTTGCCTAAGACGTTCCTGTAGCCTCGAAATGGTCGTCTGGTGGACGTGGAAGTGATTAGCAACATCTCTCTATGTTTGGCCAGCATGCAGCATTCCAATTCCTTGGTTCCTTTGGGCGTTGATCAACCGTGGCATCTTGAATGTGAATGAAAGCCATGGTTTTCTGTTCATCTAACTGCATTGTCATCGCACATGCTCTTGGGTGCGTTTGAGATGTCACGTCCCTGTGATTTGAAAACGTGGGATTCGAACCTAAACATCAGAGCTGTGCATTCCTTAACCATATGTTTTCACCATATTGTAGTTTTGGAAACAGTAACATCTCTAAAACGGACTTAGAGTAGAAAGTACAATATTCGTTTTTAGCGCCTCTCAGTATAGTTGAATTCCTGTCGTACATTGTGACAAGTCAGATGTTTGGGACCTATTCAGGTACCTTTACACTTCGTTTTTATGGATTGGATTATGTAATGTGTTTTTGCTTTTTGTTTTGATTTGATTCGTTTGTTTTATTTGTTTGTATTTTTCCTTTGTCAGTGTGTGATACACTTTCAAACTTTCATTTTGCGTTTGAAATCCACCATTTATCGCAAGGACAACTGTTGCCAAGTTTCGACTCGTAATTTAAGACAGCATTCGCATACAGCTTCCATGTGTGTTTTTGTCATGTATTTGAGTCGGTAACCTTCAAACCACGAGGAGTCGAGTCAAGAGACATCAATCACTGAGTGTCTCTTAACTGGGAGTCGAACCCCGTCTTCCTGAGGTCTTTTGCTGTCACCCCTTTCTAAGTTTGAGTTAGGAGGGATACCAGTATATAACTATGTGGTTTATTACACCGTTTCGGTAGGTGTAGGTTCTAACACCATCACCACTGGCTGACAGTATTAGAAACTACACCGAAACGTCGCCCTCGCTGTAATAAACAAGTTATTCACCCATATACTGTTATCCTTTCTGACCCCTTTGTAATATCAAACCCGTCACTAGCTATGCATCTTGTAAGGGGGGTTTTGGTGTGTGTTTGAACAGAATATCCGCCATTTTCTTTTTATGACGTAACATAGGTGTGACCTTTGTGTGACCTAATCGATTGTTGAACCCCACCCTCCTTCGGGAGTCCGGCCCAGGTGTGTGTGTCACCTTCAGGTTCACCTTAGTGGTCTGTGATTATTATTCAATTATCTTATGAGTGGTATGAGTTTGCTGACTCGAGTGTTCACACAGCTTAGACTAATGCTTAGTCTCTGAATATAAATATATAATTTTGATCGTAACAAACAAGCCCGTTTAAATTGAAAAGGAGCCCTAATGACCCCAGAGATTCAGAACCTGAGGAAATCTAGACTTGCTTTATTTAGGGCTTTAGCACTGCAGAGAGGGCATGTGGCAGTAGGGAAAATAATGTGGTTCAGGGACTGTGAGACAGACTAAGCATACGTGTTCAACATAGAATTAATATCACACTATGAAGGGGAATTAGCTGCGATTTATTAGGTCAAAATATCAGAGCGCATTTTGTTAAATCAAAGTTTAATATAGCTGTCACACAAGGAACAAGTATTTTACATTTCTGTCAACAATAAACGGTTGTAGCTGTTAAAATTCATATGGGCCCGTATATGCGTGAATTGGGTGCTGTCTATAGGCACTAATACATAACACTATGCTATTCAACATAGCACAATCGCTTGCTCGCTGAGCCGTAACTGAAGAGACATGTGACAGCCGCGATTGGATGAAATAGTGTAAGGTGTTATATTTGTTAAAAGCACCTCCATCCAGTCATTAAAACTGACCACCATTTTTAAGTATTTAATGCTGTCATTTGTATCAATTATGCTTATGCGTGTACAAATATGTTCAAGTAGGTGACAGATGGTGCGGACGTGGGAGGGTTGATGTGTTTAGCTTCCTGTGTGTGGCTTCCTGTGCTCAGTTAGCCGGTTCAAGTTGACCAGAAATTGTTTTATTGTAATTTATTGGTCATACTGTATTCATGTGTACATGGTTGGTGATAATTTTCAGCGTGGTGTAGTGTCACATACGGTCACCTTTCCGCCTTTTAAAGATCAGACTATAATCATGAGTACATGGCATGGATAATTTTCAATGTGATGTTGAATGTATGCTGACAAGTGG